TCCGTACTGCGCATATGGAAAGTAGAGGCATTGTAGTTTTCTCCAATAGAATGGCCATATTTGCTTCTCAGCCACTTTCCTAGTAGAAAGAGCTGTTCGATGCCCTCTTGAGTCAGTTGACCTAGTCCGTCAGGCCACACTTTGTGGGGATCATATCCATCGAAAATATGCGGTCTAATGGACGCTCTGTCACCGTGCCGAAAAAGTGCATGAACATGAACTAAACTGTGCCTCCCATTTGTCGTGCAAATAAGGTAAAAGAAGGTTAAAAAACCGAAAATTCTGCACATCGGAGTGAGCAGAATATCGATAGGCAGATTTCGTTCAAATAAAATTCAAAAAGAGGCACTGCTAAGGTCGTCGCTTTCATTAAGTTATTAGAAATAAAAAAAACTTGCAAACTTAGCCGCGCAAAATGTGGCACGATTTATGCGGAGCTTCAAAGCTGTTGTTAAAATGCTACCAGAACTTGCTTTTTTATGATATATTGACATTTTAACGCGGTTATTTTTGGAGCACACTATTTGTTATTTAGGAGGTAAGTATTTTGCAAATAAGCAAAAATCATACATTCTTGGGGTCTACAATTTGCCATGGCGAATTCTGCATTTGTAAAACGAGTGACGGGAATTCCTTCGGAATTTCCTTACTCCTAACCCTGCCCCTTGATTGCCTTAATGAAGTGTAGATCAAGGCCTGTAGGCACCCGCCCCGCTGCTCGTACTCTCGTAACAACCAGATTGGTTTGATTTCTACAATATTTATTGAGGGAAGTGAGCAGGGAAAAGTAGTAGAGTTTAGGAAGTTGAGGATCCATAGCCGCTTTCAGCCCTGCAGGACGTCGACTCTGCCACGAAGTCCGATTCGTATCCCCACCTCCCCTCTGTAAGGGACATAAAAACAATGTAAGTACTACATAGCTTTCTCGTCCTTTCAGCCCCGCCCTCGGTGCTACCACTCATGAGCTCCTCTCGAAGTTCCCAACCGGTGGTTTCCTGTCTTCTTTCTGGCCATAAATCTCATCTTCATATCCAAGCGGTGGTGGCCCTTTTTAGGGTCTCATTTTGTTGTGGTGAACGGTTGCTGGCTAGGTGCGCAGTTGAGCGTTGCGAATGAGGTGGTTTGTAGGTGAGATCGCCTTCACCACCCGATATGGGGAACGGGTCTGTAAATTTGCACTAGGTCTCCTTCTCGGTAGACGTTCGTCCGGCTGTTAGTCGTATATATTTCTCCTGCCTGATATAAGACAGCTGCAAATGTTTGCGTGCGGCGTTAAAAGTTTTTCTTGTGTTTTCGTTCAGGCGCAGTTTTTACTCTGGAACATTGTTGGCTGATTCGTCGGTGTTTGGCAGGAAGATGTTGGAAGGCACTCTTATTTTACCACCTGTGAGCATCTTAAAAGGAAAAATACCCGTTGACGTATGGACCATGGCTCGGTATACGAGAAGAACACGCCCTAGGCTTAAATCCTAGTCATCTGGTTGTGCGTCCCTAGTGAAAGCCTTCAGTAGTTTAATCAGTGTGCGATTTGTTCTTTCCACCTAGCCGTTGCCTTGCGGATGTGCAGGGGTCGGGCGTGTCTTTGAGATCTGGCACATCTTGCATAGCTCAGTGAAGAGTCGGTTCTCAAAAGTAGAGCCTTGATCGCTATGAAAGGATTCGGGCACTGGATACTGGTAAGTCCATCGATTAAAGAAAACTGAGGCAACCGTTTTCTCGTTTTGTGACTTCATGAGTTCTGCTTCTACCGCTTTCGTGAAGTAACCTACTATAACCAAAATATATCGGTTTCCTCTCTTGGTGGGCCAAAAAGGACCCAAAATGTCTATACCCATTCTTTCCCTCGGGAAACCGGTGGGCATGGGTCGTAAAAATGCAATGGCTGTAGGTTGAGGCCTTTTGAAATCGGCAGAAATCCTGTAAATTCGGGGTGGGCGAAGGTCACCAGTATCTTTTGCTCTAGGCAACTAGCATCTTCCTTTCAACCACGTGGCCGAGTTGCTTGAGTAACTCTTGCAGAAATGTTTGCACTGGACACCTTCTTAGTACCATAAATTCTCATCCTCCAGAGAGACTTCTGACTATTCTTGCCAGATCCATCTAGCCACCTTGCTGGCCGACGTCATCTCTTCCGGTGTAGGCCTATGCGAAAATGTTGACTTTAACCAGTTTTGAGGTTCCTGGAAGATCGGGGTCGCCCGAAGGTCCTGCCACTTCTTGGCTGCGAGCTTGACCAGTTGACCAAGCGAGTTGGTCTTTGCGTCGCAGAGCTTCTCAACCAAATCAGGAGGTCAAACTCCATGTCTAAACTGAACCGTTACCCAGATAGCAACCTTGTTTGGAGGACAGCCACTGAAAACGCGTTCCGCCAGAAGTTGAAGGTTCTTAGCGCACTCTTCGTGGTCCTCGTCAGCTTTTTGGAAACGGAGGAGGAAGTCTCTGGCATAGCTTTGTTCTTCTCGACCGATGACGAGTTGAGACAACGTACCGCAGCGTTGATCAATGTCGGTATCGTGGGTGATGTCGGAGTAGACCGCGGCCAAAAATCAATCATGGGGGAGAGCGCGGAGAATTATGGGTATTCTCTGGCACCGAGGATAGAGATGAAGGTTGAACTCATCAGTTTTCAGCCAGTCTTCAAAGTTCATGTCATCTCCGAAAGGGGGGAGGTCTGCCAACGCTGCCAGCAGTGTAGGACGAGGCTCGTAGGTCTCCTCTTCTCTGTTCCTCGTACTTGTGGAACAACCAGGTTAGCTGGATTTCGACATATTTACTGGGGGAAGTGGATAGGAAAAAGTAGTACAGAGTTTAGGGGTGTGAGGATCCATAACCGCTCTCAGGCCTGCAGGACGCCGACCCTGTCACGAGGTCCGACTTATAGCCCCGTCTCCTCTTTGATAGGAACACTAAAAAATATAAGTATTGCAAAAGAATAAACGATGCGCCTTTGCATGTTTTAACATCTGAAGCAAAGATTAAATAACCCAAATCGTCATTAATTTTGATTCAATTTGCCTCGAATTTATTGTCTTTGTAGTAGACGGAATCGTTCATTTTGGATCCCTTCAATACCTCCTTTTTAGAAAAATGCATTTTATGGTGATTTTTAGAGCAGTATCTTCTAGCGCAAATCTTACCAACTATTTAAGAATGGTTTCTCTGTTTCTCTCATTTGACATCCTTTTTATCACTTGGTAAAAGGTACAAACCCATCCTTTAATGATAAATGTTGTCAACCAAAAAAGGTCCTAGGTATATCTTTAATTTCAGCGTCTGTTGTTACTTAAATTCCCAATTTTATCACTGGTGCATTATTACTCATTGAACCGTGATTTGTCGATATCCGTGATTCCGTTGCCAGTTGGTGTGGTGCTCACTTTGCTTTGATCAGTATGGTTTTTATGACGTAACAGCATTGCTGGAGCACACTCTCGTCTCACTCTTATGTGTTTTTTGTCCTTTAAGAAAGTGGTTTTCTGCTTTACCTAGATTTCTCATAGTGTTAATGCCTTAACATTAGAATATTATTTGAAGCCTCTTCTAATTCATGTGTAGGCACTAGCGCTTTGTTACCGCCCATTTATTGCGCAGTTTTCCTTCTCACTTGGGTCTTCCTTTTATGCTTCGATTCATATTTTTAACTGGCACTAAGATCGTGTTTTTCACTTTAACCTTGCACTTACATTATTATTCTTATAGACCGTTTCTCACACTGCCCAATAATGACAGAAGAATTTGTCACATCCCTCAAGGCGGTCAACGTAAGCCATTTCATCCCTCCCCATTGTTTCTTCATCATTTAGAATTTTTTAGGCGATTATCCCTCCAAGATCACGCTTCAGAGTCTCAAATCACTCAGTGAGTCGATTAAACTCGCACCGGAGCAGAAAAAGTCGGTGATGGATTTGGCATTCCGTGAACGCACCCTCTCTCTTCTCAGCGGCAGCGATTCGATGGTGGAGGTGCGCGCTCTCCTTCGACTGGCCGCCTCAGCTGCCGTGGAGAGCATCTGCTCTGCCTCCACACCTTTCCTCCTCTTCGCCGATCTCGTCAACACTAAATCCATTGCGGAGGCCGAGGCTAACTTCCACTTTCTTGAAGAGACTATCAAGGCGCTCAAAGATGTATGACTGTTATTGCCCTCTTCCTTTGATATTTGTTTGAAAGGCCCTGCTTTGAAACCGACAATTACTGTGCCTTTGCTGAATCGCCAAATGGATTTTGGTTTTCTGATTTGGTTATTAGTCTTTCCTGAAATAGGGCTTAATGTTAATTTTTTTAACTTCTGATTGAAGGCACTTCAAAATCCACATTGGTGCGGAACTCTGATCATTGTGTCCTGGTTGATAGAGGTTTTTCACTTTTGCTTATTTTGCTGATTTGCTTGCTTTATTAACCAAAGATGTTCGTGCACTTGTCTTTATCTTTACCAAACTGTTATGCATAAAAACTTCTGATTTGTATCCTACTAAAGTGACCTCATCACCCCGAAATCCGCATTTTTGTCGCCATTCATTCCTCTATTCACATCTGTTTATTCCTGCTAAAGCACAATTTATCCTGTTTAATTACTGTTTTTTTTTTTCTTTGTCTCACCTCCTCCCTCACTTTAGTTAGCAGCCACGTTAGTATCTTTTGGCACTTTTTATTGGCTTATCGTTGATTTGATAGACGAATATAAGTGTACTGCTTGCCATGTCTATTAGTTTTCCAAGTGATTACTCAGTTACTAAGTTCTTACCTCCGTAGCGGATATTTATTGCACCTATCATAAATAGGTTCCCTAGATTTCAAGCATAAAAGCGCACCGTCAACTAGATTTTTTGCTTTTGTTTGGATATTTATTCCCATTTTCAATCTAAACTCATCACATTTATTGCATGTCTTGTTGTCTCCAAAATTTTCTGAATGATAAAGACAGTAAATTTATGTCGTGTTTGGGTTCTTATTTAACGGGTTCTTATTTTTAATGTTTGATTTTTATTCACTGTTTTCCTGTTACCTACCAATCGCTATTAAATTGGAAAGTTATTTTTTTATTAATTTGGTGTGTCCGTCCTTTACTCTCGACCCATCACTGGCATCTTCAGCTTTTTAGGTTGCCTAGATTCCTCTTTTCAGGGACCTCACTCATTAAGGAGACTTTGTATTGGGGTTCCACATCAGATGGTCCTCTTCGACAATATTCCTACCCAACCTGCTAATTACTACAAGGCTTTTATATTTCAGTGTGAGCTCAGTTCTCCATCTTTCTCGGTTACCTAGGCTTCGCTATTTGGTTCGGGGCGAAATACGCTACTCCGAATGTGCAATGATCTGCTTCGTCGTCTGTCCAAGTCACAGAACACCGTTTTCTGCGGTCGTATTCAGCTCTTCCTCACCAGTCTCTTTCCTCTAAACGAAAAGTCCGGTCTCAACTTCACCTCTAATTTCAATCTGGAGAAGGAGGTGGCTTTCAACCAGGACCCCGACGAGAGCCTTTTTCACTCCCTCACCACTGAGACAGACGCTGATGGAGGTGAGGGAGGCGATGCAGAGGCTGGAGTTAATCCCAGCGCTCTAGTCAATGCCGACCTCTACCGACGATTCTGGCGGCTCCAGGAGGTGCTGAAGGCACCTGCCCACTGCTACACTTCTGAGGGGTGGAAGGTCTTTGTGGAGTGCACTGAATGTGTCGTCTCTACCTTTCAGAGCATCCGACTCATCGCTGGTTGCGGTAGTGAGGCTCCCTGGCATCAATTCACTATGTACCTGACCAGTGAGAAGGTACTCTCACCGCTGTCGAGTGTTTCGTTTTTTCTAGCTTTATCAACATCTTGATTTGTCACAGCGATTGGGTTTACTTTCAGCTTATAGATTTGCAGCTCATGGACCGCAACTTTCGTAGGTACATACTGACCCAGTTGGTCATTATCTTCCAATATCTCACGGCACAAGTGAAGTTCAAGAAGTGAGTGCCGATGTTTAACTTTCATTTTCTCCTATTCCTTAGCTTATACGTTGAATTCGATTTTACTATGCATCATTATGACTACATCGGCTTCTGCGCCAAAATCGTCCATTACCATTTCTTGCATTAATTTATGTTTGCAAATTTTCTTCACTACATCAAGTAACCCTTGTCCCTCTTTACTTAGAAGCTTTTCCTCTGATAAAGCTTTAGGACTCTCTCATTCAGTTTTGCCGTTCCTAAGGTTTTAGCAACAAGTCTCTGGATGGCAGAGACAGCGTTAACTTCAGTCAAAAATTGTTGATGGTCGTGAAGCAGTGCATCAAAAGCTTCTGCTTATGCAAACCCCTGTGGAGGGATTTTTCAGAAATTAACACAATTCGCGGCAAAATGAATTCTGAATTTTTCACCGTTATAGTGTATCCGCTTCCTGTTTGTGTAATCGTAAATGAAAAGGTCGACGAATAAGAGCTCACCAGGGTTTTTGTGAACCAACTGATGTGTGTGGTTTAAGTACTATGGGAATCACTTACCAGAACTGTTTGTCTTGCTTCATTCTGTATTTTGATTGAGTGTCAGGGTTTTGTGCATCAAGGAAGCTCAGATGTTGCTTTCCTTTTCTGTTTAATTCGCTCACTAGTGCATGCTGTAGTTATTACTGTGATAATCCTTTGTTGATAACAAGTATGT